GTGGAAATGGGGTTAGTGGGACAGACTGTGTGCGCTGATGTATCCCAGTTGTCCACTCGGCTAAGTTTGTCACTCTTCCTTCACATGAGGATGAATACTCTTTGTCCAATTAGTGCTCTGTTTATTTTCCCTGTGCTTGTCTCCTTGTGAATATGCTGCATTGCATGTGTATTATGAAAGCACCTGAGGCTAACACAACTGGCCCTTTTCATGTTCCCTTGCCATCAGAGGCGAGATAAGATGAGATAAAAACAATTAATCCCAAAGAAACTTCTTATGTTATCAGTGTGCTTAAAGCAATACAGGGATACAAAAAAACCCCACTGAAACTCAGCGCTGCTGGAGATGCACGACAGTTGGTCTCTTACTTTGAAAATCAAGACAAAAGGATGTTGACACAGCAAGGACAGATTCCTGGTGGATGTGCAGCCAGATTATTGATCCTAGCAACAAGTGCCTAGCAACTACAGCTTGTTTGCTGGATCCACTGGGTGTCCACCGGGTGTCCAGTGAATGTCCACGCTGCAGGGCGGCCGTCTGACTCCAGGACGTTACAGAGGCCACGAGACACACTGCCAGTTCATTCTGCACAGAGAAGGACCATGTTGATACTGTAGTCAGATGAATGCTGTGATGTGGAGGATTGTGTGCATAGACGTTTATGCTTTGATAAACCAGATTTAGTTTTTATTACTACAGTTGTATTTGTTTTATAACAGAATAATTATGAAGGAGGCAGCCTCGTTGTCTCTGTCAAGCTGAAATCCCTTCCGGTTTGAATCTTTTTATTTTTCCTGCTTTAGCTGCAAAAGCTTCTGTACCGGTGTCTGCCTGATTCTCCCTATGACTACAGTTTCTTCCTATTGGCTTCTTTGCTGCTTCAGTTTTATGCTGGGATCAGAGTACACCATCTTTTCATCTTGCGTCTTTTGACATGGTCACATATTTGCTGAAATACTTGGAAGACCACACAGGTTGTTGCAGCATTTAGCACTTTGGTGGTTTGTTCCTTGAAAAGATGCAGAGTGCCTACACTGTCACAGAGACATGAAGGTGAAGGGAGTGCATGTTTTCTGGTTTGTGGACCTTTCATTTTCTCTCATTGCAGCTCAGTGCAGAACAGTGAGCGAGGGAAGAAGATCGGTAATGCCATGATCACTACCAGTCGCAATATGGTCCAGACTGGGAAGGCAGTGGGTAAGAAAGCACAGAACTCAATCCCTAAGATAAAACCACATCTGAGGGACTTGCGCTCTCATGCAGTCTGATATTTTGAGTAGCACCCAAAGGCATCACAAGCTTGCTCAGCAATACTTCATTTGAGTGTCTTCATTCTGGAACTCGGACTATGCTGCTGAGGCACTGTTACTAGAGTAAAATCTAAATGTCTCTGCTCACAGGTCACTCAGTGGGTGGAGCGCTGACTAACGCCAGGTCGGCCATGATCACTTGGTTCTCCACACTGGCTCAGCCTGCAGCCGTAACCCCTCCAGCCTGCCCCGAGCCCACCACTGAGTTAAAACCGTGACCACCGGTGCCTCGAAAACCTCCAGTGACTCAGATCCTCTGGCTGCTATGAAGCATGAGGGTCAGCAGAGTGAGAAGTGGTTTTATGATGGATGTGAGTAGAAAATGATAATCTTTCTTCAAATGGGAGTTTTAATTCTGAAACATAAAACCTGCCAGTCATGCCTCTCGTTGGAGATTCTGGGGTTTTTCCCAGTATCACATTAGTGGAATCCCACTCCGGGCGGGAAGGCAGCACTGCCGTTATAATAACTGTACAGTCCATATCCACTGTGAGGGAGAGGCTGCCAGCACTTTTGATCAAAACCAGAAATTTCAGCAAGCCTCATCACATGTGACTACTTGTTCCTGATCACTGCTGCAGTTTATACTACTGGATGCTTTCCTGTGAGACTAAAGATGCTGTCAGTGGGTTTGCGGTGTTCACTTTTTGCTGCATATTTCTAGTATATGTGTATATATAGCAAACAATTTTACTGAAAAATGATGTAAAAAAAAATTATAATCTGTGTCAGGATTTGACCAAAGTGCATGACCTGTAGCCCCTCTGAAGACTGAATGGATTAGATTCTATATTTAGTCTGGTACAAGTTTAATGATGACTGTAAAAATATTGTAGTTGTCTCCGTAACAGCAACAAATTTCCTGAGTGAGGTGTAATTATGTAAACATACATGTTGAGTGACTTAAGTAAGGCTTATTTGCATATAGTCTAAAATGTCAAAAATGCAAAAAAAAAAAAAAAGTCCGTTTCTCAGAGTCCGAACTGACAGTAAAAGTCTATAAAAAGTAATAATACCTATAGTTTAATCAGTTATTTAAATAACTGATTAGTGAATGGAAAAACTTTTTGGAAACAATTTTTACTTAATCGTTTCAGTCTTTTGTCAAGAAAAATGCCAAACACTCTCTGGCTCTTTTGTGCTTCTCAAACATGAGCATAGCAGGTTATCACACACAAAACTAATATTTGTTAGCTAAATTATTACCACCGTAAATATAAAGCTTAATATTTTCCTTTAACCTTGCGTCAATAAAAAAAAAAGCTTTTTATTTTTTTTATTATAACAGGCAATAAAGAATTTTAGCTGGCTAGGAAACGCCAACATGGTTAACTAGCTAATGCTACTAAGAAGTTGTTTGATGTGAAAGAGAATTTATATCAAATCATACACACCGACCACAATAACATCCAAGACTGATTTCAAGCGTGGTTTTGATGACAAGAGTATCTGTAAACATCTAAGTAGCATTAGTGCATAAGTGTGGTTTGCATTAATGTTAGCTTGATGGCTAAAAGCCAAAATTGCTCCACTCAGTAGTGAATGTGGGAATTGTTTTGTGCCAAAATATCACAAAATAATAAAATGATGGAGTCAGATGCACATTGAGTGTAGTGACACAAACGAGCTGTAATTGAATTTAGCCACCAGTCTTTTTTTTTTAATTAATCTACTCCACAGAGGTCTAGATTGATCCACTGATAAAAATATGCAGGGAAAGTAGATAAATACATGACAAGCTGATAAAATAGAAATTTTAAGCAACCATGAAATAAAATAAACCAGGGAGTGGTAAATAGAAAAGTAAAGAGGGTTCGATTGGTTTTATAAGTGGAAATGTTTATGCTATTTTTTTTTTTACCAACTGGAGGTTAAAATAAAATCTTAGTTGTATTTATTTTTAGACTTAATTTAATGATTTAACTAACAGTATTATTTATTGATCACCTGTATTTTGACTTCATATTCGTTATTACATGCAGTCAGTTTTGGGGCTGTTTGAATTACTTTTTGTCCAGTCGGTAGCCCTAAACCACAAACACTTAGTTTACAGCGATAAAAGCAGTGAATACTTGACATTTTTCTTGATAAGATCATCTGAATGCTGTTACTGAAATAACCACAGTAAATGAATCCTTGTAAACCCAGTGCCTGATGTTGTGCCCTAATACACATGATAAAATCTTCCTTGACTACAAAGGAACCTGCACCCAGCTGTCTTTAACAGGCGGTTTATAATCCTTCACCCAGGCCTTTTTATACTTTGCTGTCAGTATATGTATTTGGAGAACTACATATATTAAGTCTGAAGATAGTTTAAAATCAGATAACTTATTTATTTGTTGTGTATGAACTTCTCATAAATATCCATATTTTGTCCTGGACACTGGAACAAATCTTAATCTGTGGACCGCGGTGTGTATTTGTACAAAGCACCCATAATTTTGTTAATGTGAATCTGTATCTTGTATAACTAATTACAAAGTGTTTACAGGATCATTTTCCTCCTTGCTAGAAATACTCAACTTTGGATGAAAAGTGGTCCAGTGAGCATGCGCTTTCCAGTCCAGTTTTACAGCTGTCATGTCTTTAAAAGGTTTTGAATGTTTACTTTTTTTTATTTATTTTTTTTGCTTTTAGACCTTCTCCCTCAATTTTTATTTTTGGATATTTAAAAAAAAAAAAAAAAAGGTTGTTAAAGCTGCTGTTTCTTTTTTTACCCTCTGATATATTTTGTATTTAAAATATAAATGTATTGTGAATTCAAATTCACAGAATATTTTGACAGATGCTTTTAATGTATTTGAGAATAAAGTCATACTATATTATACTCCTTGGCCACTTTATTAGGTACACCTGCACAATTCAAAGCAACAGTTCCACCTTAACATAACAAATATAAGTCACAAAAAACCTACAGAGCCACACTTCCAAAGGACCAAACTACAAAAGATGGATGCAGCAGTACCAATACCAGTTTCAGGTCTAATACCATATTCTAGTACTCTGATACTATGTAGCAGTACTATTTAACAGGTGTTTCTAATATTCTGACCCTCTCATGTATGTAGCTGGGGAGGACAAAAATATAGAGACATCTCTGAATATAATGTAATCCAGTACAACACCACCTTTTTAACTATGAACTCAATAATAAACATATAATTGAATTTATACTTAACAATTTCAACAAAAAACACGTGTCGAGCTTAACAGACACGTTAAGGCGGACGTGTTGCATTGAGGTGCATAGTTGTAAAGGTGTATCTAATAAAGTGGCTGGTGAGTATATTGCCATATTAAAGTATATATTATAATTAAAATACTGCAGACCTTTTATATTTAGCAGAACTGTTATTTTCTTTATCCCTCAGGGTTTGTACACAAGTGACCTACATTAGTGCGTGCACATGCACTCTACACCAGGGGGTTGTTGTGGCGGCTTAAACCCGAGGCAAGTGCACAGTGAAACCAGCACAGCTGGCTTCAGTGACGGGTCATGACTGATTTCTAAACTGCTTTTAATTTCTCTCGATTACGGAACCAGAGCTTTGTGTCCTTACTTTTACCTTAGGAGCAGCCAAAACCAATAAAGTATTACATTCATAATGATGTGAAACAGGGAAACTAAAGCACATTTTACTTGTTGTATAAGCAGGTAAACAATTCTATTTTACAAGTAAATATAAAAAATTGTTAGCAACATGGAAAAAACTGAGCCAAGTCCAAACAAACCAACCAGGGAGTCAGTTTCAGGAACTTTTTTGGTATATTTATTAATAAATTAATGTTCATTTGAACAGTGCCAAAGGAAAATGATGCAGCCGAACATGCTAACAGGGTTTGTCATGAAGCAACTGTGCTCATGTTCTGAAGACAAGAGGAAGACCCCGTCCCTCCCTAATCTGCCCCCATCCACTACTGCTAGTGGTTGCTGGGATGATTTCCACAGCAATAGTCCCGGGCCAGCCCTCTCCTCGCAGAAAACCAGCAGCAAGAATCCTCAATATTCACTCGAGAAAAATTAAATCGACAGGTCAATGGGCACCTACCCACAATCACACAACAGTAATGTCTGATAGTAAATCAAAAGATAATAATACAAAACAGACCTGGTCATTTCCCCCATGATAAACAGTGTTTTTTTTTGAACATATGAAAAAATATTCAATAAATATGAGAAAAACAAAGCATCGTGATCATGTGACGATGGACAGAGAGGCGTTATTTGCTGTGAGAGTGGAAGGTCTCATGCAAACAGACCGACAGGCTACAGAGGTGCTGTAGTGGAGTCAGGGTGGAGGACCGGGTGGCGAGAGAAGAGGTGATGGGCGACTGTACCTGCAGTCACCCTTTTTTTAAAACCCTCCCCACGTTTCACTTGTTTTCCCACCCACTCCCAAATAACCAGGGCTCATGTTTTCGGCATCTGCAGGACATTTTCAATCAGGTTTTTAAAGAAATACTCCATCCAAAAGGTTAAGGTTTTGAGTATCAAATACTTCTAAAGCCAAATCAGATAATTAAAAGCCTGCTGTCTTTAAAGTTCGCTTTGAAAAGTTGCACATTAGTGAAGGGTGGTGCATGTATGCTGAAAGACAAATCCCAATGGAGGCCAGAAAACAAAGCAACAAAACATCAAAATTAGATTATTCAGAAGACAAAGTCACTGTTAATCTGCAGAATAATAAAATCAACATTTGGCATTGAGAATGTCAGAAAATAGCCATGAGATAGATAGTTTTATCTATCTCATCACTTTTTAAAACTATTTAACTTTAAGATTATAAACAAATGTGAGTTCAAGCTTGTTTCATTTGACCAACAGCCCAGAATCCAATTTTTGTTTTATATACTAAACACTTATGAAAACTGTCAATATTTTGTCAGTTAACTGATCATTTAATTTATTTCAGAACATTCTTCGATTTGAGCTTCTCAAATGTGATGATTTGCGTCACTTTTTTTTGTCACTGTATAGTGAAAACCTCTAGGGATTTAGACACTTAAAAAATATGTCTGGGAAATTGGTATTTCCCGTTTCACTGACATCCCAGAGACATTAGGAGTAACTAATATTTTCTATGCACACACATTTGTCCTTGAGAGTTGCATGTGCTTTGATTGTACTGTGACTATGGAAACTTTGACTTTAGTGAATCAGATAAAATGATAACTGCTGTCCTCTATGAACAAACAAGCTCCAAACTTTTAGGAACTTCAGTCTACAGAAAATGAGCCTTTGATACTCTAGACATACGTTTTCCGTGGAGTATTCCTGAATCGGTAATGAGAGAACAGAAAAGAGGATGGGAAGCCGTGATCGGAGGAGGGGTTCTTGGGGACACTGTTGCCATTACTAGTCCAAAAAGGTTTACCAGTCAAGTGCATCATCACCACCACTTGGTAAAACAGTAAAACAGACTTGTAATAATATCTGAAAGGAAAAAAAAAACAAAAACAAAATACTGAAATTTTCAGATTACTACTATTTTGAGGGGCATCTTTTTACTCTAAGCTTGTTTTGGGCTGCACTGTTCATTAGCCACAGCTGTAGTTACCAGCCCAGGGGCTCAACACAGCCAACGTCAAGCCCCTCAGAGTCTCAGAGATGTGATGTACCCTCACTTCATGTCCATTCTCAGCATTACAGATTCCTGGTTCAGTAGGCGAGTTCACCTCCCCCACTAGCTGTTCAGAGCTATGTGCGAGGGACGGTCACCAGCTCTCCGTTTATCAGGAACATATCGACGTCGGGATAGGTCGGAGGTTTCCAAGGGGATTCCTCCAGGCAGGAGGGATACAGCTTTCCCACTGCGCAGCGGAAGTCCTTGCCCAGATCCCAGAGCACACGCTGAGACACAGGCTGCCACAGGTACCAGCGGTCCAATTCCACGTCGTACTGATAGATGGCGTACTTTGCATCATCGTTCATGTGAGTTTCACGCATTAATATGCACAGCGTGTCCTGCAGCACCACTGCCCGCACACATGGGTCCGTATATCGCTTTGCAGGAATGTTAGCTCCAAGGCGCCACTCGTTCTTGTCGATATCATAGATCTCCACAGTGACGGAGGAGCTGCCAATGTTGCTCGATGGCCGGTGGATGGAAGAGTTGTTTAACATATGGAGGCCACCGATGTAAAAAATGAGGTCACCACAGGCAGCTGCGGAGGCTAAACAGCGGCTGGTCTTGCGCATGGCCATCTCCACCCAGGTATTGGCTGTGGGAACATAGCAGTACATCACATCATTGGTCAGGACATAGATGCAGTCATGTGCTACCACTGATGTGCTCCAGGTCCAGGCAAAAGGCAGGGGGGACATCATGCTCCACTCATCCTTCTCACGGTCATAGCGCTCCACAGTGCGCTTGTTTAACTCTCCTCCAACGCTGTCCCCCCCGATTGCATAGATGTAGCCCTCACAGTAGACCAGGGAGGGCTTGATTCGGGCACACAGCATAGGGGCTTTGGGTACCCAAGTGTTTTGCTGGGCATCAAACCAGAAGAAGCTATCAACCGAGCGGAAGACTGTGTGGTATCTGTTACTCCTGCCGTGGTGACAGTTTTTGAGAGGGACCTGTCCACCAGCGATGAACACGTCGTTGTCTGGGGTGACAAGGACTCCCATCTTCTGCAGGTCTCCTGGGGGGTTGCTGAGCTTGTACACCTTCTCTGCCTGTGGACTGTAACACACTATCACAGTAGGCAACGAGCTGGACCTTACGCAGCCCTTCTCCATATCTAACTTGGCCTCTATAAAAATCAGCATCTCCTCCTTGGTCATGCCTAACCGAGGCTTGAAGAACTTGGGCATGGATTTGTAGAGGCCCTGCACCACCACAGACTTGTCGTTGGGTGGCAGACCCTGGAACCAAGCGCGCTGCGTCACCTCTGACAGGGCATCTATGCGGATCTGACTGAGTACAGACGACAGGTGCTGTGAGCGAGCCTCCATGTTATACTCCAACCACAACATGGCTGCCTCTCGCACTGTCTCTTCCTTCTCCACATTAAGGTTGTCACTGCTCAGGACGTCTATCAACAGCTCGTGGGAGAGCTGGAGGAAGGCCTCCTGCCGGTACACCATGGGGAACTTGTGTTCAATCATGCGCTTGGCATTCTGCTTTAGCACGCTACAGCTGAACATGTCGCCGATGCACAGCATGCGGACACAGTTTTCAGCATTGATCTTCTTCACCAGATAGTCTCTGCACTGCAGCAACACATCTTCCACCTGGATGGGACAGAGAACAGCCACAGCCTTTTGAAGCCACCGTTTATCACGATACACAGCCAGTACATGATAGCAGGATTGATTAGTTGTTGGTTTTGTTCTTTATATAGAATTTGTTGACAAGTTATTGTGAATGTTTGCACTGACCTGTAGGAAGCAGGCGGTCTCGTAGAGCAGCTCCACAGTGCTGTCAGTGATGGTCAGGTTCCCCGTGTAGGCATAGGTGATAATGATCTGCACGGTGGCCGGGTCCAGGTTCTTCAATTGGACATGGGTCTGCTTGCTCTCACTGAGGCCACTCGTGAACATGGCCCTGCAACAACAGTGCAGAGTCATCAGTCAACACAGCCACACAGGATGGACACTTGTGTGGCCATGAAAACAGAGATTTTATCTGCTGCTTTAACAATTCAAGGTTTGCCTGTCACTTTTTGTCAGACCTGTATTATGGTAATTAGGTCAGATTTCTACTGAGCTTGGCAAATCCAAACCAGCTTTTGCTAGTGAAACTAGAGCCATAGTAACGGCAACATCTCTTCAGAAATATTTTTGTGCAGCACAGTGAAAGTGAAACAGGTCAGCAGCACAAATCAGTGAAGTTACCCCAAGTGACAAAACAATTTTTCTATTACTTAAAAGACCTAGGGCAGCATAGCGGCACAGTGGTTAGTGCTGTTGCTTCACAGGTCTCAGGTTCGAGCCCAGTCCGACCCAGGCCCTTTGTGTGGAGTCAAATGAAGAAGGAGCCCTGCAGTACTATACACCTTGCAATTGATAAGATAAGCATAAAACCCCAGGCTTATGATGCATGGTTTATTGAAGCTGTACAAGACGCTCACCTGAAATAGGAGCTACATGTGGCCAGAACCATCTTGTGACATGGGAACTCTGTGTCATCAACCTGCAGCACGACATCAGTCAGCAGTTTCTGTTCGTAAAACAACTTGAATTGCTCCAGCAAGGAGACAGCGTAGTTCGTATTTGGTGACTTGCACTCTGACATGGTTTCATCGCATGAATCGCTCTCCAGATCTGAAGAGTCGCAGGTCCGGTGAGACGGACCAAAACCAAGCAGGTAAAAAGCTATTGTTAATAGGTTAAATCTTCAAGATGCTTGACGGGGAGGGCAGCTCTCCAACACCTCCACTGGCCCAGGTGGAAGTGTTCAACTCCTGTGTGGAAAGATTTTTGGTTCTCCTTTTGCTGGAGAGGAGGTAAAAGATGTGATAAGATGAGAAGGCTGTGGTGACCAAGTGTCACCGTCAGGAGTCCAGGGGATAGGGTCCTGGGCGAGCAGGGGTAGTGTCCCTCGTGGGTCTGCTGTCTGAGGTCATGCAGTGTGGCACCAGAGGTGTAGAGAGAGTACAACTACTGTCACAACACCGCTTGTCTGGAAAACACGAGAAAAACAAAGAGCAATGATGCCACTAGAATCCACAGAAGTTAGCAGTACAGAAAAAATAATGGCATAAATTATTTTCCTTTATCTTTGAGCTGTCAAACATCCTGAACAACCTGCCTCCCCATGCAGGTCACCTGCTGCCCCTTCTCTCTCTCTACCCTCTATTTATACCTAGCTTCCAGAAACTCCACTGAGTGGACTCTTTTAAGGACTAGAAATATCTGACCACTGGCTCTCTATTAAACAAGATAGCAACTGAATTCAAATGATTGACAGGGCTTGCTTATTAATATGCTTCATTCACTCTCTGTTGTCACATAATATGAAGTTGAGGCATTTAAACTAGAGTTTACTGTCAGTGTTCAATTAACTTCCATCATTTTAGACTTGAAATGCTTTGGGAAAATGAGGCTCAGATCTTTGTCTGCCATAGCGGCACTATGGTAAATCCTTGTAAATATCATTACGCAAATGTCTGACTATGACCCTTGGCCTGTTACACAGCATTTCTGCAGGGTTCATCAAGTTATGTTTAATTAAGACCTTTTTAGACCACTTTGAATCTATTTCATCTCCATTCTAGAAAAAAAAACTATGTAAGACGTGAAGAGAAATCAGTTGAATATTCAAGCTGATTATGAATTCATTACTTTGCAAATAATTCTTCGACTACAACACTACAACATGAAACCAAAATACAGTTATTTTCCCAAAAACACATTAAGCTAATGCAACATTACAGAAGTAATGTCAACTGAACACTTAAAATAATCAATCTAAAACATAAATAATTTTAAAGACATAATTGTATTCAAAGTATTTTAAGACTTTAAGGCCTAAAATTCAAATTATTGGACTTTAGATTTTTTTAAAAGGACCCTTCACTAAATACAGTGAAGAGAAAATGCTGTTTATGTGACAACTTCTAATCCAGACTGTGGTCTTTATTGGTACCATGTGGTCATTATGGTCCATGAAGATAAAAGTCAATGAGACAAGCCAGATGAATTTGGAAACTATTAATATCCCACGAGTAAATGCAGACAAGACGTGTGAGAGTTGAGCTCCATTGCTTACATCCTAAGTGAACTGGACTTCGTGGCAGGTAACCATGGCACAGCGTCATTATGCCACTTTTACCATCAATGTCTTTATTGGTTTCAAGCAGCACAGACCACCAACGATACTACTTCTAATGATATTTCAATAAGACATTGTGGAGATAACGCCCAATTTCCCGCTGATCTGGTGCTCATGTTTGCACATCAACACTTCCATCACCATTCATAACATTTCCAATTCCACACTGATGTTTACAGGTTAGCATTTTAACGCACCGGAGCTAATATTAGCATGTTTTTAAAAAGCTGACATAACCATATTCAAGGGCGTTTAATAAAATAAAAAGTTGAGATTGATTAGCTATTGTGTTAGCCTCTAAGATGAATGCTATGTTAATGTTGTCTCATCTCCGAATAGGTAACATGGATGCAGTTTGCCAAAAACGAGTACAAGCTATTACGTTACTGAACTGTAGGTAACAGTTAAGTACATGTTAGCGAGCATCCGTCATCAACTTCACCAAGACAGACACATCCTTCACCCAACGTTTGGGTACGTACATACATCACATGTACTCTTAAATAGCTTATCATCCAACGTTTGCAGGCTCATAAAAGTCTTTTTATGACAGTTTAACCCGACAATCATGCTAACCAGCGGGTTGTCGTGGAAGTAAAGGCTGGCATTTGGAGTGTTTCAACATGTTTTCGACTAGTCTCTGCTGCACCGTTAGCACGTTACCATTACCCACCGTGTCCAAAACAGCCATGTCTGCTATCTAAAACACGACAAAGTAACACTAGACATTCAGGCCTATTGCAAAAGTCCTGTCTGAGGTTAGCTAAAAGCTTATGTTATCCTCAACATCATGTTCCCTGTGGCTTTCACATTCCAAAATGTGGACATCCCTGTCTTTGATCAACTGATCAGTACATCTAATCAGCTAACTTCGATATCATATATCGCTACATTTGCCACCCGCGGCAATATAGCTACTTTAGCTTTTCTTCGCTGCACAGTTCCGGAGTTAAGTAACAAACTAGCATGTCTGTGGATCCATACTAACTGACTGTTAAAAATACAGGCATCCGACACCATCAGTTCAACTGTAGATTTGTTTCAGAAAGGATATAACAGCTCCAAACCAATGCACCTTCCAAATAAGTGAGCGATCGTGCTGCTAGTATACACACAGCTAGGCTAATCCAGCTATAGTTAGCTATAGCAAACGTAAGTTAGCTATCTGACTGAACCACTGTTCAAATTCAACAACCACAGTTCAAGTATTCTTACAATGATTGCAGACAGACTCCACATACCGAACCGTCGTGATGACTTTTCTCTACAGCAGAAAAGTGCCAGGTTAACTCATCAAGTCGTGTTTAGACATTAAAACTGTTGTGTAAAAGCGGACAACCTTTCACCACATCAAAACGCCTGAAAGACTTAGAGGCCAGGCGAGGATACTGCGCATGCGCCCCACATAAACGGCCAGTCCTGGTGGAGAGAGGAACAGCGCCTTCTGCTGGACTCACTGAAACTCAACTGTACTGCAACCTGGTGAAACCCATGATCAAATCTCCTACTGTATGCTTTTATCTATGATCAAGACATGGAATCTCTGGTTCTTGTCTATGAAAACGTGAATTAAAGAACGACAAATAATATATTGCAAAAAGACAGAATTAAGTAATACATGAGAAAATTATTGATGGTTCACCTTAAACAAATCGAAAATTCAGCAGGGGAATCGTCATCAGAACAATTTCCCAAATCTTTCGCGGTATTATAGCCTGTATAGCCTATGATGGATTTTTTCTCTTTTGTGAGGAAAATTGTGTGCCACTCCCACAATAAACATTGTTTATTTTGTTCAGATGTAGAACCGTAGTCTTTCAGAAGAGGCACTAATGAAAATAAATTCCTGGATGCCACTGCACCAAAAACATAAAGTAGTAGTAGTAGTAGTAGTCTAGTCTGTCTTATCATGGTTTAACAAACAACAGGTACAGTACAGGCCTAGCAGCTACACTGCTTGATGATTTGAATAATTTAGGGGCAAATATACTTCAGCCGAACAATTTTTTGAAACAAGTTTTGGTTAGCTTTTTGCTTTTTTGCTAAGAGGTGCATTTTTTGTTCTTGTTGTTTTTACACTTTTATGAAACACTACATTAATTTTATGTACTGTGACACCTGTCCATTTGCTCAGTGGGTGTTTCCTGTACGAGTAATTAGCGTAGATACTTTTGTCAGTAGGGCCTCAGCTGAACTTGTTTGTCTTTTGTTTGAAGAAAAGCTGACTGGTGTTTCATTTCTGACAGGTTGAACTTGAAGTCAAAATGAAAATATATAGACAGTATTTATGTATATCTACTAGAGGTGAAATGGTTTAATTAATTTGCTGGTTGAAAATTAATGGCATATAATTAAAGTTATTTTTTAAACACTTATCAGCAACTTCATGTGTGAATTTGGTACTTTTTTGTTTTACGCAGTTGTAAAATTAATATCTGATCAGACAAGCGGCATTTGAAGATGGCATTTTTCACTATTTTCTGACCTTTTATAAACCAATGTTAATGGATCAGTGTATTTTGTTCTTCTTAAAGTGAAAGGCTTTTTGCTGAATTGTTAAATGTGTGGACCAGTGGAAATAGTGCAATATGCTGTTGTTGCAGTTTTCATTATGGATTTTATGTGTAAAGATAGGATATAACTTGAACCAGAAAAATGAATATCTGAATGTCATACCTTGATGGTGCATTGACTAAAAAGCCTCCATACACACTGAAAACAGGAGTACTGATTCAAACTGAGATCATGTTTATTCTTTATAAATGTTACAACTTCAGCTTTCCTCATCTGCAAATGAGGTGGCCAACAAGAAAAGGAACATTACAACAACAAACTAAAAGGACATTTTTGTGCCTTGTGTCAGTGTTGTAAACTTTGTGTCAGTGAAGCCAATAAGCTGCAGGTTCATTTAATTAAAGCCAATCTGCTTCCCACCTCCTCGACCTAATGTGATTTAAGATACTGATGGTGCTGTCTCTGACCTGTTAATCTGCTTTTATTCTCAGGTGACTCCCTGCACCCTAGTGGGTGGGAATCAGCAAGAAGCAAACATTTTTCATTGGCTGTCATTAAACTCTAATTAGATGTTTGTCACCTGGAACCAAACTCTAGCCAATCAGTGAAGCATTTGACAAATTAACATGTATCTTGAGTCCACGCCTTAGATTTCCAGTTTAAATCATGCTTGGAAAGTTGTGTTGGCTCTTTCGTGACGGTCCTATTGCATGTAGGTTCACTTGCTATCAGACATGGAAAATATTTTGTGTCTTGCAACAAAGTTGCTAGTCCTCCCAAAAATTGAGATGTTGTTTGTTTTTCAGGTATGGAGGGAGCCACATCTAGTTTGTTACATTCTGACAGTCCTGAGCCACTGCAGGGAGCTCAGCAGGCCTCAGGGCCTCAACCGCCAGCCCCAGGACCCTCAGGAGCTCCATGTCCTGGGGTGCAGCACCAGCAGCATCACAAACCCTTCTTCTACATACAACCTCCACAGCCATATCTGCCCATGCAGAGTCTGCAGTGGCCTGTGCCCATGCCCATGCCCTTGTCCTACAACCCATACTTTGGCTACCCTGGTGTAGGTTAGTACTAAAAAACTTGAAGCCTCCTTTTCCTTTTGTTGGTATGCTGGGTTTTGAAGGTGCAACACTTCTTGAAAATGTAAATTGTGGTGAATATTCTCACTGCTCTAGAAAGTCTGTGTAGTGCAGTTATCTTTGTGGAATGTTTTCAAGTCCTTGAGTAAAATTTTATCCTAAAAGCTGTTATAGGTTTCACATTTTAAGTTCATGTTTTACTGCAACATCTTTTAAAATTAGTTTTTTTTTTTTTTTTTTTAGTTTTGTGTTGAGGTGATCACTTGTTTCTGAATCATGTTCACTAATTTGAGTGGTTAATGTGTATGGCCTCATGCAGCCAGTAATCATACTGTATACTATTGCTTATACCATCTAATGATCAGCTCCAACATTATGGCCACTGACAGGTGACGTGTATAACACTGATTGTCTCGTTACAATGGCACCTGTCAGTGTGTGGGGTGTATTAGGCAAGAAGTGAACATTCAGTCCTCAAAGTTGATGTGTTGGAAGCAGGAAAAATGGGCAAGTGTAAGGATCTGAGTGACTTTGACAAGGGCCAAACTGTGATGGCTGACAATTGGAGCAGTGCGTCTCCTAGACTCTCCTGTTGGGTGTTCCCAATCTGCAGTGGTTAGTATCTACCAACAGTGGGCTAAGGAAGTGAACCAAGATGGAGTCATGGGTGCCTAAAGCTTGCTGAAGATGAGTTTGACCTACTGTTGATTAGACCTTTAAATTTCGTTCAACCTTTTCAAAAGATTTCATTGAGTGGTTGACACATTTGTGCTGTTCCTGACAGAACTATAGAAGCAAACAGATCCACAGAAGGTGCACAATGAGCTGCAGAGTGACACGAGTGCCAGCCAACACTGACTTCTGTATACACAATGTTAGGCAAGGGGTCATAATGTTATGGCTGATCAGCGTATGTAGGATTCACTAGTGCACGACTTGCATGTGTTATCCTATTCAGAATTTTATAAATCTCATGCTGCTAGCTTGCAAAGTTTTGTACAGATGTTCATGATTTGTTCTTATTTGGTTTTGATGAATGCTAATATTACCATGTAATCGAAAGTACTGCTGTCTTCAAGCTCTTCAGAGTTGCTTGACTGTAGGCAATTTTAAGTTGCATCTTGTATTGCTGCTGCGGCTCCATTTTACCTGAGCTACTCTTACACCTGGACACTTGTTTTGACTTACTAGCACCTGACCCACATGGACACAACTATCAGAAAATAATTACATACACACATATATGTATGTAAATGAAATAACTAGGATCAAGATCAAACTAAATGCCTAAAATACAACATGTACCTTGTCAGTACTGTTAAATAGCTGAACTTTATTAAGATTTTAATGATTCTTTGAAACTTTTACAAATTAACACTTGTCTATGTCTTAAGCATTTTGTTTTTGTTAAAGGTTTTGGCATGCCAATGATGCCTCATTATCAGCCAAACCCCTACATATCTCCACCGGGCTTTGTAGTGCCCCATTCCCACCTCCATCTGAAGGACTACAGACGCATGCTCAACCCCCAGCATTACCAGACCATGACCCACCACTCCCGCAGGTTCCACTACCAGCACAAAGGCCCCACCAGAGAAATGATCAACTCTGAGGTTCAAACTGAGCCAGTCTCAGCCACCCAGAGGAACGACACTGCAAGTTCCAGTAACGTTGCGTCCTCTGGTGTTCTCCCAGTCTGCCACAGCGATAGCCCCAGTGTTCCCACCAGTCCAGTGCTCTCACCAGCCTTGGCTGTGCAGAAGGGGGATCATTTGGTAGAGCTCAAGAACATGGTGCCCTCTTCCATTACTGGGAGGCCACCAAATGGCAGCTTTGTCATTCAGACTGAGGAGATGAGGATTGAATGCTGCGCGTCACCAGTGGTGATGCAGCTCATGCACTCTCATGAGACTGCAGAAGTGTCTCGCAAGTTTTCCCGAAATGTGGTTCAGTGTAGCTCCATTCTACAGGGCCGTGTGCTGCAGGATGAGGGACTGTGCCTTCCTGCAGATCAGTGGGGGCAGACACTCCCAGCTTGTCCTGACATCCTGTTGGCTGGGACAGCCAGCACTGGTGAGACGATCCCTGCGCCGGAGCAGTCCAGTAACCAGACCGACCCTATGACTGATTTAGTTAATGGTGATTTTGTGGAGATGAGTGAAGATCAAAGTATGACTTCCAAGAGTTTTGACCTGAACTTTGACCCCAAACACCTGGATGTTTGGTCCATAGCAGAAACTTTGAGTCCCTCTCCTGAATTGCTGTTTCAAAGTGGCTTCACAGAGACGCATGATGAAACCTTTGCTGATGTGCTGTCAGAGAAGAGGGAGGCCCCTTCAGAAGAGTTTGCAGCTATGATTGAGATGCCACCTCTGGCGGAGGATAAACTGGAGGACATGGTCCCCTCTGTGGAGGGTGTTGGAGATGAGAAGGTGCCCACAGCTGATATCTGCCCTCTGGATGTCACAGAGGAAACTCCTATGATCAAGTTAACATGCACAGCAGGGCTGCATCTTTCACATAATTTGCTCTCGCTGGATAATTCCCGTCTTAAGGGAGATAAAAACCAACACAAACGAGAAACAAATGTCCAGGACACTTCTTTCGAGTCCTTGCCTGCCTACCTCCCCTCAACCAGCAATCTAGAGTACCCCGATCATGTCCACTACTGTAGCAAGATGCCACCGCCTGCCAAGAAGCAGAGCAAACCTCTGGGCAACCTTGGTTTAGATTTGCCTACCAAAAGAAAACTAGACCTAGAGGACAAAAACCAGCCTACCACCGGTAAGCCCAAAGTGAGGTACAAACCTAAAGGCAAGGTGGATCGACAAAGCCTCTCTGACCATGAATGCTGCCTCAGCAGAGGTTTCAGTGAAAATACATTCAAGCCTTATGTGTCCAAGATGGAGAGACTCTGCTCAAGATGTCTGGAAAAACATAGGATCTGCACATCTGCCAGTCCTGGACTTGGTGGTCTGAGCTTAAAAAGAAAAGCTGTTCCATTCCAACAGTGGAATGATGCACTCTTACCAACATGTGACTCCTGCAAATCTCACAACAAGAGACGACAGATGAGCCGAGGTTCTAATCCTGATGTTTGTGGTTCTCCGTATGGGCTCGACACTGAGGGAGAATCTTCTGAAAACAGCTCGGGTCACGTGGGAAAGAAATGGAGGACAGCTGATGATCCAAGGAAGCTTTCAGGCCCCAAGAGGCCCCTGGCCCTGAAGCAGAACCTGGAGAAGTTTCCTACAGGGACGTACTCAAAGCTGAGGGAGAAGAACTGGGTGTATAATAAGTTACCGCATCAGCCTGTTGCGTGGGAAAGGCTGCTTCACTGTCCCCATGGCAACACCATTCAAGAAATGGATGAAAACTGTGCTGTGCCCATTTCCTTCCATGACAATCGGAAAAACTCAAATCAGATTTTCCTTGCACACAAATGGCCAACTGGTAAGCAACAGATTTTCACTTTATCAGGGAAAGGAACTCGTGTATATACTGTCCTGAATTAAGTGTTGGATGCCACTCCAGGCTTGAAATTGTTTAATGTTAAACTACATTTTGACACAAGGTTCTTGTACTATCCAGAGGATGGAGGTGAGGCTGCTGGGCAGTTGTGCAGTCTCTGGTTGGTACTCTGGCTTTGGTGGCTAGTCTGCATTTCTTCAACTGTTTCTCATCCAACAGAGAAATCATTGAAAGCAGTGATGCTTAACCCCGACACTGAAGGCTCCAGCAATGAAGCCAGATCACAGCACCTGAACAAGCACAAGAACTCACAATCACAAGGTTTGGCTTTCACAGTTTCTCTAAAATCAGCTTGATGTGGACAGAACAGGGTAAATTGTCAAATGTAGTAAAGTGAGAAAATATAGATGTCCACTAATGGGCATGAAGAACACAAAGTGGTTTGCATTGGCAGCTAGAAAAGCATGCCATTTTCTCTAGATGCATCTAAAGAAAAGGCAGGAAGTGACATAACTGCTATAATATAAACCTCCTGCATTTTCTCTGTTACCAGACACACAAACATTGGCAGGAAACTCTCAGGCAAGCCTTTTGTGTTCCACATGTTCTGTCCAGGTGTTGGCATTTCAAATGTTCATGTTTCTACATTCAGTGAGGGAAGCTTTTTTTTTTTTTTAAACCATTTCACATGTAGGGCCAAATCATCTCAGTGCATTTACATAGTAAGATAAAGACCTTAAGTGTTTACTGTTAAACTCGAGTCCACCTAGAGTATGGGGGGGTAAATCAGTTTTCTTTTGCTGCTTAATGTGGTAAAATCTTGTATAAACAGTTGGTTTATACATAAGTGAGTTATGAATACAGAGAGAAGGCTGCATAATGGCATGACTGTCTTGTTATCTAATCAATGAAGCTGTTAAGGGGGAAGTGGGCAGTGTTCAAACATACACAGATGATGTGTAATGACTTCATTTGTTTTCCATCTGCAGGAACCTGTAGAAAAGACACAAGATGGTGATTTGCACATAAGCACAATTCACAAGTGAAAGCACTTTTTAAATGACCACAAATGTGTATGTAACTTAAAATGTTCACTTGATTTTATAATCACTGTTCACATGTAATTATTTAAATAAACATCTTTATATTAGCTTTGTCTTGTTTGCACCTGCACTGGTTTGTCATGCTTGAGCAATAAAGAGCTGCTGTAACTGTTGGCCCACTAGATTGCACTGTTTCTAGTATCACAGTGACAGGTGCCAAACTTTGGCTTTTTTTTTTTTTTTTCTGCTCAAACTATCAAATATGACTTGATCGAAAAACACTTTCAGATGCATCTCAGTCATAGCTGTTTCACACACATTGTAAGGTGAAGGTAGAACATTTTCCTTTTGCAGTGTGGCAGCATTTCCTCAGGTGGATGCTACTGCTTCACTATTAAAGCAGATGAATTTAAATACTGAACCTGTCATTCTTCATGTCTGGATTGCCTATAAATCAAATAAGTGATCACACATTTGCATAAAACTGTTCTGACTTTTCGTGAACAGTAAGGTGTGTGTGTGTGTGTGGCATGATCGGGTCAGTCTATTCTCAGGGGTGTGTGTCTTTGGCATGCAGAACAAAGTAGTGCTTTGATAAAACCCCTTTATGAAAACTTTCACGGTGCAAACTAAAAGTTAGGGCTTTAAGATGCATTATGACAGTTAACATGGCATGTGAAGGGCATGGGTATTCAGTGGTTCTGACAGTCCCCTGTATGTGATTGGTCAATGTGGATCCTTTTGCCAGGTGATGTCACCACCTGGTGGCGCCTTCGGCCAAAGCTGAACCATGTCCAACTTTATTTCATCATGGGGCTGCTTCATTTTTTCCATAACCCCCTGCAGTGCTGGTGCCTGCTGTGGTAAACACAATCCGCCATAGAAATGAATGAGGGAGAGGTGTGTTTTATCACACCTTGAAACGCGGCCTTAAACAGCCCTGTGCTCTAGGGTGTGAGCATGAGGGTATTTGGCTTGAAGCACAGTGCTTCTTTCTGGCAGCAGAACAAACAGTACTGACATGGGTGACTGGTTTGTTTTGGGGGAAGTGTTTCAATGCTGTATTGAATTAGTAGTCACAAAGGTCATTTGACTTGCAGGGTTCCCTGTGTTTTATGCTGTGAAGGAAGCTCTGAAACCCATTAGACCAATAATATGAAATGTTGTTCCCTAAAGGGTGAAATAAATGCATTTACTGAATGAGTTGTGTTAGATCTGACTATTAAAGTTTGTGCAGTGTCCAGCAGGCCTTTGAAAGCAGGTGAAGAAGCCAGTTTTATCAACATGTAATGCTTGTGCAGCAGTAATCGCTTTCTTTCAGGGCAATAAGGTGAACAGTGTCAGTTGTTTCATGTTAGAGAGTCTGGAGGCGATGTGTATTTTTTTCCAGCTCTGCAGCTCATCAGTTACTACTTACATTGCTTCGGGATGCTTTGCTTTGTCATTCTCCGTGGACAAATCAACGCAGAAAGCTCTCACAATGCTCATTCAAAGGGAGACAAAGGCCTGCGTTTGTGCCTCATTTGAAATAGACACACTCGAAAGCTTTTACAGTTTGACACAACCCTCTGAAGTGATTTCTGGCTAAGGGGACACAGAGGTTCTTTGAAGCTAACAGTGTGTGGAGAGGGAGCCGAGTTGCAGCTGGAACAGCACGTGATTTCCCCTCAGATTCGTCAGCTTCAGGGTGGAGACAGAGTCTGGGCGGTCTCAGAGCTCATATCATCTTCACACTGCCGTTCCATCTTCATGGCGCCCGCGTTATCTGTAAATCTGAAAGGCTTCAGTGTGATTGGCTCCCAGAGGGATTTACAGTATGAGGTGGTGGTGGTGGCAGGGCATCTGATACGCTGTGTGTATCATATAAAGCTGGAGGAAGCACATATTTCATACAAGGTGACATGAACGGGGTAAAAAAACATCCTGCACCCATGATTTCTGTTTATAGGGCAGGTGTAAATTGATGTATAACAATGCATATACACAAACCATCTTCTTAAGGAGAGAAAGATGAAGAAAATCCTGAGAAGTAAGGCCATTTTAAAACTTCAAAGAGAAGTCTAAGTAAGATGAAGTATCTTTCACAGGATATTTCTTCTTACCAGTGTCAAGCTTTTACTTATTTTAATAAGACATAACTTGTTGCAAAGATTTTCATACTGGTTCTGATTAACGTAATGTTTGAAAGTAGATTGACCAGAACTGTACAAAACTGATGTCAGATAAATGTTTTTATTTTTAGTCTAGCTGCACTAGTTTTGAAATATCTGTGGATATTTGTTTCTAAAAAATCTTGACAAGTGCAGTTTTCTTCTTCTATTAGCAGAAAATTTTGCTTATTCTAAGTAACGTTTTCCCCATTTCATTACTTTTCTTTTTTGATTTTGAGAGCTGAGCTTTTGCAGTGTGGATTTCAGCATCAGCTCTAGAATAATGAGCTGCACTTATGAACAATATCTATCTGTCTCTCAGTTGCCATGGTTCTTTGCATTAGAGTGGCAGCAGAAAGCTGAATACTAGAAAATACGACCTGCATGATACAAGTTCAAGATGAACTAAGCCTTTAAATTTTTGTCATAGCTCACTTTACCTGGTAGTCTTTTCCTTCCAGCTCACAGTTTTTTGTATAAATCACCTTAAAATAATGTCAGTAAAGTTTTCATTGACTTCTTTCATAAAAATGCCTCAGGGTTAAGTCTCCTGGTGTGGATAAACAATGAGCCAACAGTGGATTCACTGGAAGTCGTCTCATTGCTCGTTTTGAACCGTGACCCTTTGCCAGTTTCGTGTTGTTTGGGCATCACTTCTGTTTATTTGTTTATGGAGTATTGTGTAGGTTTTCTACTTTTATACTTTTGTATATCTTAGGTATAATATTTTTTACTGTTTCTCTCAGTGGCTTTGCTGTAAAATCACTCTGAAGCTTTGTTTAAAGGGATCATTTTAACTTGAGGATAGCTGTTTTCTCCTTCTTCCTGTTGTCATGCTAAGTCAGGTTAACTTTGTTCTCACTCTAACTCCATTCACCCAGCCATGAGATTCAAACACTTTTTATCCCCACTCCTAATGTGAATGCATGTATTTTCTTCAGGTCAAAGTAGAGGATAAATGAGCCGCTGGTTTGAGAGTTAAGTCTGAATGTTATGTGTGCGCAAGCTGTGTTTCTGTATTTCTGAGTGGAGGACATCATTTGACAGTGCCTCCAAGTGTTTGCTTATCTGTATCTGCAGTGTGTGTGTGTGTTTGTGAGTGTGTGTAGCTACTTGAGATGCCAATAAAAGCTGTGAGAGGTTAAGAGCATCCATCCTGCCTCCTTAACAGTTTGCAGTGATTCTGTTGAGCTGTCAAGTTTTCCTGGAAAACAGCGGAGCTTGTGTCACGCAGTTCAAGTGTTTTGCAGTACTTCTCATCATTTTTCTCAGATGATGTGAGACCACCAGAATACTTTGTGAAGAGTTTCCTCAAGTGCCAGTTCCCATTACAGAGGAATAAAAAGAGTCCTGGATCGTTGTTCTGCAAGACGATGTGAAAAGCGAATCAAAGGACACATGTGGTGCTTGACCTCCCAGTCTGACAGTGGGGTCAAGGAGTTCCAGACTTCTCCTGCATCCATATCTTGCAGGTACCTGAAACAACAAGCAGCCCCTTGTCCTGTTTGAAAACAGATCTGCGTTTGTTAAGTCAGCTAAATTTTGTGTCTGATGAAAATTTAAATATCAATACTTTTTGAATTAGTCGTCATACTTTGATTACATCTCCTACAGGACACCTATCTGCCATACACCCAGAGATATCCTCCTCAAACTCCCTGCACTCCTGCCGCAGTGAAACCCTGCTGTTAATAACTGGAAATGGTGTAAGTGCAACATTTGCAAAAAACCTCAGTGACGGTGTGTCTGCATCTAAGTGTGAGGTCATTTCTCAGCAGCACTGTGGTCCTGTGTGGCTCAGTGGCTCTGACACCGGCAGGGTTGGGGGTTTGATTTCCACCAGGGCCTCTCATACTCAGGTGTATACGCTCAGTTAAGCGATAACACCGTCAAGGTCAAGCTGCGCTGTGGCTACAGGCAGCAATGAGCTGCAGCTGGAGGAAATGTAAATCAGTGAAACATGACCTTGACTGTATATTGGCTTTACACCACCCTGACGACGCTTGCACAGGAGCTGGGAGGTGATGCTTGATTACCTTTTTAAAAGGGTGAATGGTACTTTCCTATTCCCTGTATGTCTGTGGTGACATTTCTTTACCCAGAGTTGTTTAGTTTCACCTGATTTCATGTGGTCTCCTGCTGCTCCTGTACTCTCTCTCTCTCGTCAACCCATATTGTATCCATATTGCATACTAATACAGTGCGTGGACATCCTAACCTCACAGCCCAGTGTCACAGTTAGAGCCATGGGCATTCATCTGCTGCTATACGAATGTCCACTCCTCTAGCTTCAGTCCTTCCACTAGATTTCAGAAATCTGTTCCACATCAAGACCATTAGTGAGGTTCAACTGGGAAAAACCATTTTTTATGGCTCTCGCTTTGAACACAGAGACCTTTTCAGGGCAATTTCACTGTATGCTGCAGCTGTAAAGTCTCACTTGCCTGCAAATAGGTGGACTGGAAAGACCTGGAGAGAACGTCCAGTGGCGTCTGGAAAGTCAGTTTAGGAACGTTTCATATAAATGGGGTAGTGAGAATATCAGGCACAGAGAACAGAGAAGGCAACATTTAAAAACACCAGGGCAGGAACCGTTATGTTTTCAGCCTGTGTGCTACCACTACGACAGGAGCAAAACTCAGACGACATAGTAAGACGGATGAAGAAAGTCTGTGCAGGGAGGAGGTCAGGGTTGATGGGATGACAAAATAAAGGATTTTTAAACAGGAGACAGCTGTTTGTTTCATTTACTTTGTGGTTTTTAAATAACCACTAGTCTTTTCCTAACCAAGTAGTCTTTGTGCTGAGACCTACTGAGGTGACTAGAAGGTAGAGCAGGGCCCTACTAAACCCTTGATAACAGCTGTTAACTGCCACTGAATGACATTGCACCATTTGAAGCAGGTGCTTCATACAAACATCCCGTAATAGCACTCGAACAGACGTTTACTCACTAAAATATGGAGCCTTTATCCTGTCACATAAGTTCATTTTTTTGTGCTTCTCCTGTGTTAAACCCTGTTT